GCAAGTAAATAAATAGGTATCACTTAGGTGGGAAGGTAACAGCGTTCCATGCACCTTGGTGTTTAGTCATGCTGGCCACATGGAAAAGTCTTTGGAAAGTGCTGGCTCTTCGGCTTGGAAACGGAGATGAGCACCACAACCCTAGAGTCGGAATCGACTGGCTTTCGAGCAAGGGAACCTTTACCTTTACTTTTTATTACCAAATTAACACTACATTCCACATTGGTTACAAGGTTTTAAAAATATATATTTTGTGGAGGGATAATTTTTTAAAAAAACATTAAAGTGGAAATTTAACTTTGATAGTGATGCAATGATCTTTTGAATAGATTTTAAAAGAAAAACTAGTAGGATGTACCCATTGCTCCCTCTGCTGTCGAAATTTAGAAGTCATGCTAATTTCCCTACTCATATTGTCATCTGAAGTACAAATTATCCTTTGAGGCAAAGCCTTTTTGTCTTGCAGAAGTTTGTACGTCTGCATGACCTTTTTGTTGGGGTTTTTTAATACTCTAAAACCACAACTAGTTTTGTTCAACAAGTTATTTGTTGCTTTATTCGTAGCAGGCGCCGTAATCCACTCCTTCAGCTGAAACTGAAATTGGTTGTTAGCTACAAAATGTCCTGCAGGTGGCTGTCTTGTACATCAGGGGGAAAGGATCATTCTCAGGTTGGATTTTTTCTTTTTTTAAAAAATGTAAGTTGTGCGTGCAAAATGCCAGCCTTTGATAGGATTAAACCTCGAAGAAGAAATTTTGAAGGGACAGTCCGTTCCAGAAAACATGATAGGACTGCTGGTTTTGTGATTTGCTTTCTCCGTTCTTGCATTTCCTGCTGTATTTATTAATCTCACATTTTTTTTGCCAAAGGGGTCTGTTCAGAGGAAGGAAGATGGGGGAGCGAACTGGTAAGATCTGTGCCACTGTTTAACATAGGTATAATTTGTGTTGCACTGACTATGTACAGCGGAACTCAGTGTTCAGGCTGTCAACCATGAAGCTTGGTCCAAGCTTGATAGCAGTCAGCCTACATATTATGCAGATCATGAGAGGGAGGGCAGGAAGGGTTGCCTCAGTGCTTAGTTCTTGTGGCCCTTTCTGACACGCCCAGGGAAATGCTGATTGCCATCTTGGGGTCAGGAAGCAATTTTTCTCCAGGCCAGTTTAGCTGGAGAACCTGGAGGTTTTTTGTCATCTTCTGGGCATGGCACAGCTGTCACTGCAGGTGCAAAGGGGGAGGCATTTGTGAATTTCCTGCCTTGTGCAGAGGGTTGGACCAGTGTTCCCTCTAAGCTGAGTTAGTGTGAGCCAGCTCACTGTTTTTTAGCCTCTGGCTCACACATTTTTGTCTTGGCTCAAGAAGGATGGCTCCAGAGCAAACTAATGTATGCAGGAGCCAAATGGCTTGCCCACAACTTTAATGCCAGTTGCTCACCAAGTAGAATTTTTGCTCACAGGACTCCACAGCTTAGAGGGAATATTGGGTTGGACTAGATGACCCTTACTGTTATTATTCCTGCACCTTTGACCTTCTATAAAATAAATCTTTTCCTTGTTGTACTCTGCCTGGTCCTTCACAGGGGATCCTAAATCCAGAATGGTGGCAGCGTCAGGTGACACCCACCTGAGCCGTGACACTCATTTTATCCTGACCATATCTTCAGTGTTACCCTTATGCGCTCCTATCATGCTAAAGACAATAAGGGCCTTTTTGGTGATCTCCTGTAGGAAATACAATGGATATGCCATTTTAGGAAGGTTGTAAAAACATACTGTGATGGCGTTTAAGCTGTAGATGATTGAGAACTGATGTTTTAAATGTTGCCTCTTTGAATACTAAGAGGCAACTTTTAAAACATCAGCTCTCATGTTGTAACTTTTTTGGGGGGAAACTGCACATTTTATACATTTTTTAAAAATGTTGAGAACTGCTTGGGGAACTGTGATCAAGAAGCAGACTACACCTTTATAAATGATAACCTGGGACACTGTACTTCTGTAAACACTTGGAATACTAGACCATACAGTGTTGATGGGGACGAGAGAGAGAAAACACAGTTTACAGGTAACAGCCAATTCTGTTTCATTCCCAAGGCAGAGTTGCAAATGTGCTCAGGGTTTGAAAGCTTTCCTGGCAACAGGTGTGCAATTTTTGGCCAAGACTTAAGTATAAAAGTCAACAGATAGAATTTCTTCACATTTGAACTGATTACTTTATTATTAGCTTACAATAGATTTTTTGGTAGATGTTCTCAGTAAAAAAACAACAACAACCCATAAGGGAATGTGCTGCTATAAGGGAAATCTAAGGCCATCATCTGGTAGCAGGTAGTATTTATCTCTCACTTCCTGAGAGGCATCCAACCATAAAGGTAATGAAGCTTAAATGCAGTTGTTTGAAATCCAAGTGGAACAAAAATATTTTCAGTGGGGGTGTATCATCTTCCTTAAACGTCATGGATAATTTAAATTTGGGGGTATATGTCTAGTACCAGAAACTCTCGCTGAAATACAGCTGGATGATTTCTTTCATAATATATAAAGCAAGCTGGATATGGAGTCACACAAGCAACTTTACTTTTTTGGCAGCCACGTTGTACAGATTCTTCAATCTACTGGGCTTTTCTGTCTTCTCATTTCCCTCACTTGTAAATTCCTGTTCCTGGTTTTTTCCTCTCTGTTGTAAGTCCTGTCCTTTTGGGTTTGTTTCCCCTCTCCCGGTACAGCAAGTGTTTTTGCTCCCTCTAGTGGTCCATTCTATATTACACCAGTATATGTCCGGCATAAAAACACGGTCTCCAGGGAGATATGTCCGACATAAACTGCTGTAATATTGAATTGACCACTAGAGGAACAGTGTGTGGAACAGACACCCTCCCTCCCAAGAAACAGGAACTTAAAAGTGAGGAAGATGAGAATGCGGGAAAGCCCTATCGTTTTGAGCTACCTCCGTCCCCAAATAGAGAATTCATTTAATTCTGTCTTGAGCCTGCTGCATCTAGTTAATTTGTATTGCTACCTCTAAACACCCAACCACACATCAGTATCCACCTTTCATGAATGCAGAAACAACTTGTAGAAACAGTAATTAATTCAGGAAGTGCCCATATTAAAGAGTGTCAAATGTTCTGAAGCAGGAGTGGAATATAAAAAGAGAGGGCCGGGTGCTCCAAAGTTGTACCCCCTGGCAAAGAGAAAAAGTTCCCAGAGCATAGAAAAGAACAAATTTATTATTTATCGATGACATTTATATGTTTCCTGAAACATGACTTCAGGGGGGAAAAAACTACCTGTTGATAAGCAAAACTAAACAGGATCGCCTCCAACATAATGCTTTTCAAGGGAGTCAGTTCACACATTCAGAACTGAGTGCACAAAATGATGAGAAAATGAGTGATGTGCATGCACGTATGAACTGTCTCCCTGTTACAACCACTCATCTCTCTTTTACAACCACTTGTATGTAACAGGAATTTCTTTGTACATCGATTGTAGTTGCATGGCACTTAAGGTGGTGTCATTAAAAAAACAACCCTTGATCTCTTGATGTTCCTCTGCTCACTAGAACAAGAAGCTAGCTCATGATGGTTTCTGGAAAAATCAGTGAGGCAAGTCACTCTTGCCTTAATGAGCCTGAAGATCCAGCAGAATCACAGTGTCACTGGCTACTCACGGACAGCAACGTACGGGATTGGAAGCATAAAGGATATGGGTGGGAGGATGTTACGTCAGTGACGTCTGTATAGTGCATAATTCCGGATGGGTAGCCAAATTAATCTAGCAGCAAGATTAGACCGGAAGTCCAGTGGCACCTTGGAGAATAACAGAACTTGCTCAAATCAGCACAAGGGTTATTGGAAACGGCGCTCACGTTATTGGACATATGCGTGTGCATGCCTCATGCATACCTTTGTGAGTTCTGGCTCACAAAAACTGCTCCTGAAATACATTCTGTGGGTCTCTGAGGTGTCGATGGACTCCCATTTTGTTTTGCAGCGCAACGTGGAATTGATCCGAATGGATGTTTTTGCACTCATTTTTTAAAAATTGTTCTATTCAGAAGGTGAAAAGTTAAGCATCACGTTTTCTCTAAAAAGTGGTTTATTATTTTTTTTAAAAGTTAGATTAAAATAAAACTGAAGCACAGTTTTAGGGTTTTTTGGGTCAGGCTAGCAATTTGGGTGTGGTAGAGTTATTCTTCCCTCTCGAAACGTTTAGATGGTTCAAACATTCATTCCTTTCCCAGTCCAGCTAGGCACAGTCGTTTCTTCCAGCTCTGGCCGTTTCCGCCAACCCAAATCGACTTTCACTTGTTTTTCCATCCCATCAGGCTCCACACAGTGAATGGGATGACCTCACACCACTATGAATTCAATCCGATTTGGCTATGTGATGGGCAGGAGACGGCAATGAAAAAGCAAAAACAAAAATCATTTTTTTTAAAAAAAAGTCTGTAGTGCTGTGAAATCTGCCCGAAAGAGGCGGGGGTTTTTTTGGCACTGCAAACATCTGTTTCGGCTGATCTCTAGCTGTGAAACTGCCATCTTGGGGTTTAGTTTTGAGAACTTGGACCCTCCTCACAGCATATAAAAGATCCAGAAGATCGTATGGATTCAGTCCTGTAGCAGCTTGAAAGCGAGGCAGGATAAAGACTCAACATACTGGGTTTCTTTAAGTCGCCAATGTAGGGATCCCAAGTCCCCCCGGGGGGCAGGGAAACCCCCGCCCCAGAGGCCCGTTTCCCGCCGCCACCGGATCGGGCCCCTGGGGGAACTCCTCCCTGATGTGCACGTCACCGGGAAGTGACGTGGGCACGCCGCGCACGCTGGGAGCGGGGCCACGGCCATACAAGGGAAAACTCTATGGTTTTCCCTTGTATGGTCGTGGCCCCGCCCCCAGCGTGCCCGGCGTCATAACGTCACTTCCTGGTGCTCCAGGAGCCGCCCGGGAGTCCCCCCGTGGAAGAGGTAAGTGACACTTGGCAACCCTACGCCAATGTTACCTCACAGTCCCTGACCGAACGGGAAGTTTGGTGCAACAGTTTACCAAGAGTGTACTCCTTTCTCTCTCTCTCTCCCTTTAGGTGAACTAGAGGCCTTGACTAAAGCAACGGTTCTAGTTTGAGTTCTCTCTGTGTAGGAAGATCGTACGTAAGTCGCCCTTCTTGGCTTCTTATACATTCTTTGCATGTGGAGGTGGTAGGATAGCAGCAAAGAAGGGTTGTTTTGGTGGGAGAGGAAGACCCACCTCAGGATGTAGGATGGTGGAGCTTAGCAGTACAAGCAGCAGACTAGCCCTCAAGAAAGTGCAGTGCTGGGCGTGGAGTGGCTGTTTCGGGCCATTCGCTTTCCTCGTGAGAGATTCTGCTCCATCAGCTAACTGGTGTCCTGGGCAAAGACCGGCAGCTGTTACCCACAAAAGGCGAGTCCTCATGGGTAGTGTTTTACACATCTCCGGGAAGAGCCACTTCTCAGTATACGCGTCATCGCTACGGTCTAATATCCTTCCTCCTCCTCCTCCTCCTCCTCCTCGAAATCTTCTCCCGCTGTTGCAGCCTCCAGTGCTGCCAAGGCCTCTGCTATGTCTGCGTCCTCCCCCTCAAATTCTCCATTAAACTCTCCGCGGCAAACCTGTCCGGTTTCCGGCGAGGCTCCTGGCTTGGGCCTCGGAGTGGGGATATCACGGACTGTTTGGTCCTCAAGACACCCACTGGAAGTCCCTGCCCTGCAGGCTTGATCGCCTGGGTCGCACTTTTTGGCCTTGCCCCCGTGTTCGTTTAAGACGGTGAGTTCTATGCTTTGAGCTGAATGTGTGTGGTTGTTTGACAGACTCTCACTTCCAGACACTGCCTGCTGATTGGCATTTTTTGAGATGACTGGGTCAGGTGGACACGTGTCCTTGCTTTGAGCCTCCAGCGTGGCACCTGGAGTGACAGAGCCATTTTCTCCTGCTGTCAGTAACTGCCTGTATTGGCTGCTTTCTGTGGCCACCGATGGTAGCGTTGGGAGGTCTGCTTCTGGGCGCGTGTCACTGCACTCTTTTGGCTGCAAGAGCCCTTTGGCTGAAGAGTTGGGCGGCTGAACTGGGCAGACGTGCGTACCGACCTCTTTGTTTTGGTTCGTGTTGTGGTTGGATTTGAGATTGGAGTAGGAATGAACGCCGTTGACATTAACGTTGCTCTTTTCGCGAGAGTTACTGAGCCCTTCCTCTTGAAGCGCCGTGTTCCTGTGGTTCCGGACGGCATCCTTGGCGTTGTTTAATTTATTTCTGTTCACGGATGGCTGCGACTCGGCGCTCTGCAGTTCATTCTTATGGACTCGGATCTCCACGTTGTGCCTGCCTTTGAATTTCCCTCCGTCTTGAGTGTCGGATTTGTAGTTGTTGATTTCATTAATGTACCCCGATGTCTGCACTTCTTGGGGATCAAAGATATAGCTAGAGAAAACGAGAAAGGCACCCTGTTATTTTTCACCCCTTTTGGTAGAAACGTATCCCTCGGCCGCCCCATTTGATCGCAAGCTCAGAATCATCATCATCATCATCATCATCATCATCATCATCATCATCATCATCATCATCATCATCAATATTTACGATCCAAAAGCTTCAAAAAACATAAGATTGGCTGTTATAAACCCCTTTAAAACATTTTTTTATCGATACTGATTCTGCCTGTACCTTTGTATCATTTTACAGCACCTGCACCCCATCTGGATTCTTCTTTGTTAATATCTGAAAAGCCAGAGAACACGAAAAGGAAATAAGCAGCGGGGTCATTTCATGCATGATATCGAAAGTCACAAAACAAACAGGTCGTGCCTGTCTCTGTATTTTTGGAGAAAAAAAATCTTACCAGGTTAAAGGGAGAGAGAGCTGGCTATTATGCTCTGAAATGGAAAAGCAACTACTACTTTTACTACTGCTTTTTACAACTACTGCTTCTGTCCAAAGAACCTTGTTTGTCTCATCCTTCTGCTGACATTTAAATATGAATCTGTTTCATTTCCCAAGCCCTCCTCCTCCTCCTCCCAGCACAAAATTTGCCTCCCTATCATTTAATGTCGTTATACTGTTATCCTGCAATCTGGCTCAGCCTCTGGCCTGGTTTAAGTGTGACCCTGGCGAGGCTAAGGAACTCACTCGTGCAACGTATTGCCAAAACTGGACTGCTACCCGCACAAATCAGTTCTGACAGCGCAACACCCAGCTGGGCTATGGACCTACAGCATGCTAACTTAGCCCACTTTGTGTTGCCCACTTTGCACGGGCAGCAGCCTGGCTGGAACAAGTCTCCAAGAGAGTGCTGCAAAGCACCATGGGTAAGTCCTTTTGACTTACCAGTGTCACAGTTAAATCAGGTGGAACTGACATCCTATTTATTTTATTACATTATATTTGTGGATCGCCTGATCTCCACGATTGTGGGGCTCTAGGCGACAAACAGACCGAAAACCATAAAACCATATCCAACATATGCAATGTTCCCTCTAAGCTGTGGAGTCTCTTGAGCAATTATTCTGCTTTGTGAGCTACTGGCATTAAAGCTGTGAGCGAGCAATTTGGCTACTGCATAAATTAGTTGGCTCTGGAGCCATCCTCCCTGAGCTAAGACAAAAATGTGTGAGCCGGAGGCTAAAAAACTGTGAGCTAGCTCACACTAACTCAGCTTAGAGGGAACACTGGCAAGCAGTGATGTTTTGGGGCTCCCTCCCATTTCTGATCTGCGGGAGCTTCGAGAGCACGGGAGACGGAGTAAGCCCCACAGGGGAAAAGGGGGTCCAAGTTGGGTGTCAGCCATGATGTAAACCATCACTGTCCTCAACCAAACACCTGGCGGAGCATCTCCGCCTTGCAGGCCCTGCGGAATTGCATGAGATCCTGCGGGGCCCCGATGTTATTTGGCAGAGAGTTCCACCAGGTTGGGGCCACGACCGAGAAGGCCCTGGCCCTGGTTGAGGACAGCCGGCCGGGGACTACCCGCAAGTTGTTCTGTGGAGAGTGTGAAGCTCTCCCGGGGGTGTAACAGAAACCAGTGTGACAGGTTAGTCCTGATTAACTTAATTCCCATTGGTGGACTTGACTTGTGGTGATGGGATTGAGGTAGGAGTTGCCAACCTTCAGTTAGGGCTTGACGTTCTCCTAGAATGACAATGGATCTCCAGACTGCAGAATCATAGAGTTGGAAAGGGACCTCCAGGGTCATCCTAGCCCAACCCCATGCACAAGGCAGGAAATTCACAAATACCTCCCCCCCTCCACACCCCTGGTGACCGCTGTTCCACGTCCAGAAGATGACCCCCCCAAAAAAAAAAACCCTCCAGGATCTCCGGCCAAAGTGGCCCAGAGAAAAATTGCTTCCTGACCTCGAAGTGGTCGTCAGCATTTCTCTGGGTGTGTATGAAAGGGCCATGAGAACTAAGCGCCGATGCAACCCTCCTCTTCTCGTGATCTGCCTCAGTTCACAGGACCAGTATGGCTGTCAGGCGGACATCTGGCCTCTGTTTGAAAACCCCCAAAGAAGGAGAGCCCACCACCTCCCGAGGAAGCCGGTGCCACCGAGGAACCACTCTAACTATCAAGGAAGTTCTTCCTAATGTTTAGCCGAAAACTCTTCTGATTGAATGTCAACCCGTTGGTTCTCGTCCGGCCCACTGGGGCAACAGAAAACAATTCCGCACCATCCTCTCCATGACAGCCCTTCAGGTACTTGAAGATGGTGATCGTATCGCCTCTCAGTCGTCTCCTCTCCAGGCTAAACATACCCAGCTGAAGAAATTGGCAGCTTTAGAGGGTGGACTCCACGGAATTATATCTCTGTTGAGTTCCTCCCTTCCCCAGACTCTGTCCTCCGTGAGCACCGCAGCCAAATTGCCAAGCTGAAGCCGGCAACCCTAGACGGGGGCAGCTATAGACCTCTGCCCAGCACTATACATGTCAAAATGAACATGCCTAGAGGGGGACCAGGCTGGAGTGTGTTGCCCCCCCGCCTACACACAATCACAGCTCCCTGGGATGGTGTGAGGCATCCAAGCATGCAGGAAGTGTCCATGTGTACGTTCCCACCCTGCTGATCAGGATTATTGTCTTTTGGTTTTTTTTGTAAAAGCGGCATCCCTGATCACAGGCTGGGAGCCTACGTGCATACGCTTCCTACGTGCTGGTGAGTCTACACGTGACTCCGTGGGCACTGCAGTCAACACGCACAGAAGGGCAGTGGCACAAGGACGTTGGCTTCACCTGCGCACAGGGCTGGGAAACTCTTTGAGATTTTGGGGGCGGAGCCTGAGGACAGCAGGGTTGGGGAGGGGAGGGGCTTCGACGGGGTATGATCCCATAGAGTCCGCCTCCCAAAGCAGCCATTTTCTCCAGGTGAACTAATCTCTGTCACCTGGAGATCGGTTGTAATCCCAAGGGATCTCGAGCCACTCTTTGGAGGTTGGGGGAACCCTACCTGCACATGATTGCTGCGATCCAAATTAGGTGGGGTCCAGTGCTCCCCTCTAAGCTGTGGAGTCTTGTGAGCAAAAAATCTACTTTGTGAGCTACTGGCATTAAAGTTGTGAGCGAGCGATTTGGCTACTGCATAGATTAGTTTGGAGCCCTCCTTCCTGAGCTAAGACAAAAATCTGTGAGCCGGAGGCTAAAAAACTGTGAGCTAGCTCACACTAACTCAGCTTAGAGGGAACACTGGTGGGGTCTGCACATTTGCCCCTGCTGGCCCTCCATGTGAGTTGAGTTCAACGCATATTATAGAGAGAGGGCTTATGCTGAAACAGTGTGGGAGCACCATCAGACAAAACAGCTGGTAGAGACGGGGGACGGAGAAGGAGGAAAAGGAGGAGGAGGAGGAGATTGGATTTATAGCCTGCCCTTTACTTGGCGTCTCAGAATGGCTTACAATCTCCTTCCCTTCCTTTACCCACCACAGACACCCTGTGAGGTAGGTGGGGCTGAGAGAGTTCTGGGAGAACGGCTCTTGAGAGAACAGCTCTGAGAGAACTTGTGACTGACCCAAGGTCACACCAGCTGCTGCTGCATGTAGAGGCGCGGGGAATCAAATCCGGTTCTCCCAGATCAGAGTCCGGACTCCTAACCACTACACCAAGCTGGCTCCTGACCAGCGCTGATTGGGTCCCCGAGAACTGTCCATGCCTCATTCAGGTGGTGGCCAGTCTTTCCCCATATTATATATTTAGCAGGATGCAATGAAGAAAGAGACTTCAACTTCTTCAGGGCAGCTTAATGGTACAGAAGCAGTTTAGGGAACATAATTAAAAAAAAAAACTGGAAAGGCGCAGCAGGTTAAATAAGCGATTAGGGGAGGATTAAGGCAATGGGTCAAAATGAGGCATTTACTCCATCCATAAAATGTTATGACTCTCTAGATGTGGAGGGTTTTGTTTGTTAAATATTAATCAGGAACATCACGCACTTGAGTCTCAGAGCGGGAGTTCTTGGAAAGCAAGAGGTGGGGGAACGGAGATTTCGAACTTTTGCAATTCCTCTGCAAGCAGCAATATGCGTTAAAGATACACCCGCTCTCATTAAACAGTGACTGCCTACAGGGGAGCTTTTAACTCTCCCTTTTTGTCTGCTAACCCCGTGCCACAAACTATATTTCGCCAAGCAAATAAGAGACAACGTTACGAATTCGGAAGAAGAAGATTGGATTAAAAATGCAAAAAGCAGGTTGATATAGAAAGGACGGAGTTACATGGAGATACTGCGACACGTATTGTTACCCACAACTTAGTCGCGAAGAGTCGGGACTTGAGTGTGCGACTGAACAACAACAACTTAGTGGGTTGGGTTTTTTGTGTGTGTCAGAAACGAAACGTCAAAGCGGAAGGGGCTTTGGGCTCCTATCAAACCCGGAGAGTGCTTAAAATCTTCCTGAGAATGTTTTGAAAAAGATACAAGCCAGTAAGACTTTTAAGACAAAGGTTTGGGGTGGGGAGAGAGGGAGAGGGGGACTCTTCATAAACAGAATACCTGGACTGCTGAGGCGCTGCGTGTTTGCTTACGAGTTAATGATTTCATTGAGCGGTTAGCCCTGACCTGCTTTCTCTTTCTATCGTTAAGTTAAAAGCCATGGTGCAGCACCGTCTTTCCTTCAGAGACTGAACTAGGCAAGAGTTCCTCAGAATGCAACCTCTTGGGCCTTTCTGCTGCCGTCTTTTTCTTATTTAACTCTGCTTTTCACAGACAAGACGTTTCCTCTTTTAGTTCAGAGACCTGAACTGTTTCTGACAGAATCCGAGCGACTAAACCATGGCCGCATTTACACTGCAGGCGGAAACTGGTGTAATAGATGTTCTCCCTTCCCAAGAAAAAGAGTGTTCCTTTGCCTGTAGGTCTCACTTTCTCTGTCACTGAGGACATGAGAAATGGCCACCATTTTCTGCAGAGAGGTTTATTAAGGTGTATTCGAGTTCCTCGCTCTGCTCATTTGCCGATTCCGGCCTTGAGAGGGGAGTATATTGTTGTGACCCCTCGAGTTTGTTAATGTTCACTCTGATTCTGGAGAATGTGTCTAAGTTTCGTTCTCAGATGTTCTTGCCCCCCTTCCCCCCCCAGTTTGGGGGGACCGGAGGACAGTCCCAGAAGTCAAGATTGAGAAAGGTGCCTTCTGAAGAGGCGGCTGGGTTGAGCGACTGCTTGAGAGGAGAGAAACGAGTGGTTTCAGGGAAACATCCAACAGATCCATACAGATGAAACTGCACACAACAAATA